TTTTATAATAATGAAATTTAAGTAATCCATACAACTACAATAATAAATTTTTTTAAAATAAATCAATCCATATTTTAAAATAAATCAATCCATATTTTAAAATAAATCAATCCATATTTTAAAATAAACTTTTCTATATTTTAAAATAAATCAATCCATATTTTAAAATAAAATTTTCCATATTTTAAAATAATCAATCCATATTTTAAAATAAATCAATCCATATTTTAAAATAAATCTATCCATATTTTAAAATAAATCAATCCATATTTTAAAATAAATTAATTCATATTTTAAAATAAATCAATATATATTTTAAAATAATTTTTTTCATATTTTAAAATAAATCAATCCATATTTTAAAATAAATCAATCCATATTTTAAAATAAAATTTTTCATATTTTAAAATAAATCAATATATATTTTAAAATAAATTTTTTCATATTTTAAAATAAATCAATCCATATTTTAAAATAAATCAATCCATATTTTAAAATAAAGTTTTTTATATTTTAAAATAAATCAATCCATATTTTAAAATAAAGTTTTTCATATTTTAAAATAAATCAATCCATATTTTAAAATAAATCAATCTATATTTTAAAATAAATTTGTTCATAATTTAAAATAAATCAATTCATATTTTAAAATAAATCAAACCATATTTTAAAATAAATCAATTCATATTTTAAAATAAAATTTTAAAATAAATTTAAATAATTTTAATTTCTTTGAAGACGTTTGAAGACATAAAACCATGTCTGTACCAAGAAGACCTCGAGCAGACGTTAGAAGAGCTTCTGTCTTCTACAAAACAAACGGTCTGCAAAGCTCAATGTCTACGTGTGGTCTGCGCGGCGCAGACATAAAAGCTTTGCAGACCTCACACAGTAAAGACAAACACCACCTTAATTTTTAAATTTGTGCTCAAAGTCAATCAAACAAAAAACAAGAAAACTATTTGCATAGTTTACCCTTGATATTGTCACTATACACATATGGGTTGTACACTTGTACCTGTAGGTGAGGAGCCCGTATCTTAAGGGCGTCAAGCGAAAGACGGGTTAGAAATGGGTGGGGATTAATATAAAATTCGTCCTTTGAATACCAAAAATTGGGGTGGGATCATGCCTTTAGAATCCCAAATGTACAATATATTTGGAAAGAGCATTCTCACAAAAGAACCAAAAAGAATACAATCTTTAATATGAACTGTTACCGGAAGTAATTTCAAATTGGTTTTACCAATTTAATGTCAAGTCATTAAAAAAAGTAACTACATTGATGGTCATTAGACGTTTAGAGTACTCTCACCTTGGTCGTTGAACTTTTATAACTTATATTATAATCACTAAACTTTTAATTCACTGCCACTTCATCAACTATCTATAAGAAAAAATGGCGAGGCACATAAAAGACCATAAATTCCTTCTTCCAAATTGGCAATAGCTCCACTGAATTGCTGGAGACGATGAAGACGAAGGCAGATAAGGACTTGAAGAACATTTCAGATGATGCTGAAATGGAAGATGAAGAGCAAAGGGCTTTGGAGTGTCCTAAAGAAGGGTCTGATTTTGAACAGCCTTGCAAGGAAGAAGAGAATACGGGGAAGATGAAATGATAACTGAAGGTTTCTTTGTTGTTTTTTATTCTTCTTGAGGAAAATAATGTAATCAATATCATATTTGAAGTGAAGACATACTGATATGCGTGGGATTTTCTGTGTTCTTATGCAAAATCATCTCGATGAATGGTCTGCAAATAATTAACCCTTCAATCCAACGTTACAATTTAGTGTATGAATCACGTGACTTCAGTAATTAAGAGATTTATTATCTCTTAAAATCTCGAGTTCGAGTATCATATAAATAGAAATATAAACATTTATTGTATCATATACGGAATTTCATATAGTTAAAGGCTTTGTACCTTCACAATAATGCAAAACCAAATCAATCAGAAGTTGAGATATAGAATGGTGAAACAAAACAAGCCAAGGGTACTTTTCCTAGTCTGCAATGGTTGTTGAAGACAATTATAGGTAATGGGACACGTCTTGCTTCAGCAGGATTAGACTGGAAAGCGAAGGGAAAAAGTTTTCATGGTACAGCTCGAGTTACAGAAAATTATTTGAACTTACATCTTAGACTTTTCGTGGCACCTTCCAATTGGGATTTTGGGGGATCTAAGAGATGATTACCTTCTTGAAACCGATGTCGATGATGGACTGTGACGGGTTCAAAAATAATTTTTACTGTATAAAATTTTTAAATGGATAATATTAATAAAATAGATAATTAAAAAAATAAAATTTAAATTTTAAGATAAATAATTTTTAAAGTGAATGCTATCGATAAAATAGATAATTAATCGAAGAAATTATTGAAAAAACATTTAACAAATGAAAGAAAGAACTAGCTCTAGTGTTGGGAAAAAGTATATATTTCGATGGACACAATCGCTCCTACTCGGGATTTTTATCTAGGTAACGTATATAAATGGTCTTATATATAATTAGATGATGTTATTTTGTTGAGTTTGCGACTATTAAAAGTTATAAAATGATTATAAAAAAATTGTTTTGTTGAGATTTTTGACTATTAAAAGTTACAAAATGATTATTCAATTATTTATATATTTCAAACTTGTCCTTTTTGTTAAGAAATTGGCGTACGTTTGAGTTAAACGTTAATCAAACTTATTGGGATATGATAATGACGTTTATTAGTACTATCATTGTTTTCAAATACTAGTTCAACAATATAATTTTTCAAACATTGATTTGACAATATAATGTAAATGAATAGTCAATCCATAAAATACAACTTAAACATTTATGAGATCAAATTTTATCACATCTCAATCAATAATTTAACGTCCACCTCATATGGTCGTAAATTTTTTAACAGAAAATGATGAGTTTAAAATATATGAATAGTTAAGTGACTATTTTGTAACTTTACTAATCGGAGAACTCATCAAAATATCACATTTTAGTAGGAGAATTATTTTATATCTTTTTACGGTTGAAAGACTTATTAAAATAATATTCTATAATGAGATGATTATTTATATATTTTCCTGTTTTATCTAATATTACGAATAAAAAGACTGTTTTTTGAATTAATAAATATTGATAAGAACACTGGCGTTATAGTGACTAAGCGTCTTGTTTATTTTAATTTTGACAGAAAATCACATTCGGTCGATGAAAACACTAAAGTTGTGACCATGCAGTGTAACGAGCCATCATCACATGCAAAGAAGACGGCATGACAAATTATTTGACGGAAACATTGGAAAATATTAGTTTTGGGTCGACAATGTTTTTAAAATCAGATCGGACATTAAATCGGTAAAGTATTGGTTCACTGGTTCAATCGAGTTTAATCGCGGTTAAATCGTATTTTATATAAAATAATATATTTTTTAATTTTACATAATATTCAAAGTAATATTAATATATATGTAACACTTTTTTAAGTTTACAATATTAAAAGGTATAAAAAAATCACAAGTCATAACATATATAAATTAAAAACCATAAAATCAAATGAAACAAAATTATTCAAATCAACTACAACATAATATTTAAAGTAAAACATATTAAATAATAAATATAATTATATAACTATAATCAAAAAAATAAAATTGAGGCTTAAAAAAATCATAACAAATGATGTTATTTGGTTTAATTTTTTTTTAAAAAAAAACTATCCCACATGGCTAAGAAACATAGAAGAGCATCCCAAAAGTTTAAAGAGTAAAAATATGTGAACAAAACAATCTCACATGGCTAAGAAACATAGAAGAGCATCCCAACTTACTTCTATAAATAATATAGGTAATTTGACATTCAAAATTATGGAGCCTTTTGGTGAGCACAGAGCGAACTATTATTTCGCTTCAATTGAGCTCAAATTTTAGGCTTCAATCGAACTTCTAAATTTTTTTTGAGTTCTCGAGCCTTTGCGAGTTCAAGTTTTAATATTATATTTCGAGTTTGAGTTGAACTTGATAATTTTTAGCTCGTGAGTTTTTGAGTCGAGTTGAGCTTACTTTTAAAGTTTTCGAGTTCGAGTCCAGCTTAGCAATACTCAAATTTGACTTGGCTCGTTGAACAAACGAACTCGTTAGGTTTAATTTTTTTTTTTAAAAAAAGTGAACTAGCGATTCAAACCGGTTTTACAGGTATTCAGCCGGTTCACCCCGGTTTTACCGGTTTTCAGTCGGTTTATTGTCATACCGGTTTTGTGAGGTAACCGGATCGGACAAGCCACCGGTTCACGGTTGAACCGGCCGGTCTGGTCCGGTTTTGATAACCATGGAAAATATATAGTACTAGAATTTCATTTTTTATTAATTTGGGGTAATCAACAGATTGGTTCAAGTGGTAAGCAATGTGATATCATTTAAGCAAAATCTTTGATCCGAGTCATTGTATATGCAGAAAATTCCCGTTAGGAGACTCGCCCACAAAAGCCAGTGTATGACTTGGGTCAATCCAGATTAGTTAAGGCGAAACCTTGGAACTAGAAGACAACCAAAAAAATTTTTTTTGTAAGTATAAAGCAGTATCTATTCAGAGATAACTCTCAACCATTAGACATTGAACACTCACACCTCAAGCATTTCTGGTACTTGAACTCGGGATCTCAAAGAATAACAACAATTATTTTACCACTGAAGTCACCCAGATCGTGCCTAGAATTTCATTTAATACTAAGGACTAAACCATAAAAAAGTAAATATATAAACCTTCAATAAAATTTGACCTAAATAATTGGATAAATTATATGAGTGGTTCATTACGTTTCCGGTCTGTCCGAATTTGATCGCCGTTTAAAAAAATAACGATTTTGATTTTTTACATTATCAATCTGTTAGAATTTAATTTCTTGAATGTTAAATCTCGTTAACCCATTAATAAAAAGGATGAGTTGATGATTTAAAAACATTCAACGTATTTTATTCTTCTTTTTTGTAAGGATTTGCTTTAATGAAAAACAGTAATGGAGTAATAGCAGATGCCATTCTCTGCAAACAAGGGTATTGTGCAGGTACCAAGAAGAGTAAAACTTCCACAGTACTGAAAAAAAAAATCACATCGCTGGCAACCAAACATTCATGAAGACTATTATAGAAAACTTCACCGTCTTCTTATGCTGAGGCCCGTATTTGAACATAGACAATAAGGACACTTACCCCTCACACCGAAATCTAAAATTGGCTAGTTCATATATAATTAGAAATAAAAATATTATCTATATATTAATATTTTATTTTTATTTTGGTGATCTAATTATTATTTTTTTAAATCATACTTAATATTATATTATATTATATTATATTTTTTTATTATAGATCGTTAAAAAATTAACGATGATGTTGATAACGTTTAAATTGTTTTTGTTTTTATTGAATTATTCTTTTATTATTTTTTGACAAGATGAATACAGTTGAAATCGAATTTGAGCCCTCTTAAAAGAGAATCATATTTATTTTGCATCAGTGGTTGAAATCTTTTTTGGTTTTTTTTAAATTCAATGTATTTATTAGATAGTTTATTAAATAAAATAAAAAATAATTTACAAACAAAATTATTTACTTTTACTTATTATTACAATTTATTTTTTTTCGATACTTGTTATTAGAGTTAAATTTTATATTTATAACATGCTACTGAAATCTTAGAAACGGGTAATTCAACGAATAAATATTTATCTAAAGCTGATTTCTTTCGACATTCACCATTTCAGGACAAGCTATGAAACTTTTTACTGCAACTGCGTAACAGTTATCTCTTACGTTTTTATTCGTTCGATTTTAGTTTTTGATCAGTAGCTAAAATTAAATTGACCTAAAATATAAATGACCACCCATGTAGTTTATCCTTATTTTCTCGACCTAAGGTGTTTTTTCCATTTCGAGCCGGACTAGCTGAACAAAAGAAGTCATTTGTGAACCGGTGCTCCCTCCTCAACTCTTTCTTTTTTTTCTTTTTCTTTTTTTTTTTCCAGTTCAGCTGCCGCCCATAGCTTCACTTCTTTTACAGTGAAACTTGCAAGTTATTTCAATGGAGGAAGATAAGGTTAAATGCTACCTCTTCAGTACTTCGCTACTCGTTTTCGTTTTCTTTTCGTATCTTTCTGAAGTTTAATTTTGTTTAGCTTGCTCTGTTGGCAGTGGAGTGGAGTTGTGATTTTCCAACATATCCTAATGTCTTCCCCCCTGAATGAGGTTTTATTTCTTAAATTTAACATTCGAAATGCTTAGTGATTTTATCTGTCTCCTCACAAAGTTTTGCTAACCTCAGCTTTGTGCTTGTTCACATTTCATTTGGGGTCTGCAAAAGAGTGAGAACTTTAGTGGCTATAGTTCTGTTTGGTTCTTTTCTTCATTGAGATTCTAATTTCCATGTTATTTTTGAATGGCTTTGTTGGAATCTTAAATTATCTCTCCATGTTGCATCTTTCATGTGTTACTAGATTGTTGCATCTGTTCAAGAAGCTGAACTGGACTATGAAGCAATCATGCTACTCAGCAGAGAGTTGTCTCATTTCAATTTAATTTTTGCATAACTGAATTTTTTAATCTCAAAACCTCTGTTTTGAAAATCGGACCGGATCGATCGGTTCAACTGGTTCAATCGGGAACCGTTAATTAGTTTGGTTCAATATAAATCGGTTGAACCACTATTAGTGAACCGACCAGAACTGTTGAACCGTTCGAACCGGACCGGTTGAAAACCGGAAAAAAACGGGATTTTTGTTTTTATTTTTTAAAAAATTAAACCAAACAACGTCGTTTGTTAAACGAGTCAAGTCGAACTCGAGTATTGCTGAGCTCGACTCGATCTTGAAAACTTTAAAAGTAAGCTCAACTTAACTCAAATTCACAAGCTAAAAATTATCAAGTTCAACTCAAACTCAAAATATAATATTGAAACTTGAACTCAAAAAGGCTTGAACTCAAAAAAAAAAAATTAGAAGCTCGATTGAAGCCTAAAATTCGAGTTTGACTGAAGTGAAAGAATAGTTCACTCAATGCTCACCAAAAGGCTCTATGATTTTGAATGTCAAATTACCTCTATTATTTATAGAAGTTAGTTGTGATGCGCTTCTATGTTTCTTAGCAATGTGAGATTGTTTTGTTCTCATATTTTTTACTCTTTAGACTTTTGGGATGCTCTTCTATGTTTCTTAGCCATGTGAGATTGTTTTTAAAAAAAATTAAACCAAACAATATCATTTTGTTATGATTTTTTTAACCCCAAATTTATTTTTTAATTATAGTTATATAATTATATTTATTATTTAATATGTTTTACTTTAAATATTATGTTGTAATTAATTTGAATCATTTTGTTTAACTTGATTTTATGGTTTTTAACTTATATATGTTATGACTTGCTTTGAATATGACTTGTGATATAAAAAATTATTTTTTATTAAATATTTTTTGTATTTTTATTTAATTTTTTAAATAATTATGAAGTCATTCGGTTCTTCCGATCGATCAGACTAATTCAACCGATTGAACTAATGAACCGGTAGCATGACCGATTTGTTAACCGGACCGGTTCTTCAGATTCTGGTTCACTACATTCTACTTTGAATCAAATGCTGCAGATAGGTAGAATTATACATTTGGATGGGGTAAGTTGCAATTTTCTTTTTGTACCTTTCATCCCTTATGATCATTATTTTTTTTTTGTCAGACACTCTTTAATTTTTATTTTTTGATATAACACTTTTTATAAGAAGGTGAAACATATACATCACGTCTTACGACATATGGTAAAAGACGTAGACCCTATACCGTACCTTATGAAATATGTAAAAAAATAGGTATTATTTTTATAAATATTTTTAAAATGATGTCTAATATGTTATTAATTTCTGTTATGGTGTTATTTGTGTAAATATGTCAATTTTATGATATTATTTTAACAACATTTAATAATATTTATTTACTTTTAAAATTAATTTTTTAAAAATATAAAATTATTTTTATATTTTTAAACAATTAATTTTAAAAGTTAATAAATTTTTTAAAAATATATGAAATTTATAATTTTTAAAATTATAAAATATTTATCATCATCATCATTTTGTAAACGAAATACTAATTATAAATCTTTTATAAAATTATTCATATTTTAAAATACTTACCCTCAAAGTTTTCCTATACTATATTATATGTATTATGTAATATTATGCAAAAATTAAAATTTGTCGAGTTATAAAATAATTTGTAAAAAAATATTTAAAGATTTTAATGTAGAAATTTTTTTCACACAAAAAAATAAATAAATGAAGTTGACGTTTTTACACAAATATCACCTAATTAAAATTAATTATATATTAAGTACCATTTTAAATATTCTTTTGTAAATAAATGGTGTTTAATATGCCTGAAGAGGTTTGAGGCTCTGTTATTGTCTGACACTAAGGTGAAAAGCCTAGATGAGACTAGGCACACACCTTAAAGCATTGTAACTAATGAGGCCACAATGGGCAATCAAAGTGCCAAGATACAGATTTACGAAGTCCCTTCAATAATCTATTGAACTGTGAATAAATAATGATAATGCAATGGGTTTCTGGGATGCAGGTAGAACTTTATTTTGGTCCAGTTGGTGGACTGGGATTTTACAGCCACAGGAATGAGACGGAGGCTCAAAATTTTACCCTTTCTCTTATCGAAAGCTCGTTATCCACTCAAGTACACGTGCAAACACATGCTCTGCAATATCTAAGAGATGCAATTATTAATAGGATTTATGAGTTCGGATCTGAGGATAAAGTGGAGAATAAAATTGATATAAATTACAAGTGTGATAAAGGGAACTGTTTAATACAGTGGGCTGAGGACTATGGTGCAAAAACAAGATTGCAGATAGCTTGTAAGTTCGAGATTAGAATTGGTTTTTAGTGATGCCTTGTTAATTAGTATCTTGGCGTTATTTTTCCTTTGAACTTTCCTTTTTATTCTATTTATTTTATTACTATTTGGACCACATAAATATAACAGTTTCTTTAACATTCAAAAGATGCTTCAATACCACTAAAGGAAAATTTTCAAAAACTGTTTCTGAAATAAAAGCAAAGGAAGTCGGTGTTTTAATTATTACCCTTTTCTTGCATTGGCCTTCATACAGATATCGAGGGAGCTGGTAGAGGAGCCATTGCAACGGAAGATCTGGAAGTTGGTGACAGCTATGGAGATTCCTGCATCGATTATAATCTCTGAGGATCTCGTATATAAATCTGACATGGTACATTTCATAATGTCAAAGAATATGTATCTATATCTTAGTATTAGTTTTCCCCGAGTTTGATTTGATATCTTTCAAAATCACTGAAGTTGAAAAAAAAACTTGTATTGAACTTGATAGATTTCTGGATATTATTCCAAATTGACACCATTGTTATGATTCCAATTTTTTCTGTAATCTGCTGACGGTGCAATTCCCAGGACTTGGGCCGTAAAATCAGGTAATCGGACAGGTTTCAGTTGGATCTTGGCAGGTCGGGTAAAATCAGATACATGTTAACTCAGGTTGATTTGAAACCAGATCCAGATCGGGTTCGGGTCAGGTCAAATCAGTTTGGGTTATTTTCAGGTTGATTTGACACCAGATCCAGATCGGGTCATTTTCAGTTCGGATCGATGTCAGTTCAAGTAAAAACAGTTCAGGTCCGAAGCAGATAAAGACCAGGTTAATTCAGGTTCGGGTGGACTTCAGTCGGATCTCGTTCAGGCCGGGTCACATCATTGACAGATAAAATTCAGGTCAGATGTTTATCGGATACGGATTGAGTTTAGGTCGGGTCGTTTTTATTTTTTGGATTAATTATTTTGTCATCTTTCGTGATTGTTGAATTGCAAGTTGTAATTGTATATGATTTCGAGTAATTTAAGAGAAAAATAAATATTCATAGATCAATTTTGTAAAAAATATAAATTTAATGACAAAATTAAAGAAATATAAAATTACAAATAAAATTTTAAATATAAATTGAACAACACACATATGTAAGGGACTAAATCGAAATAAATTTAAAATATGAGGTTTAAATTAATATAACAAAGGACTAAATTAAACACATTTAAAAAATTATGGGCCAGTTACAAAAATATAAATAAATAACAACTAACGATGGAAGATGTAAATATAAATTTAAGGACTAAATTGAATACATATAAAAGTGAAAGACTTAAAATTGAAATAAATTAAAAAACACAAAAGGATTAAATCGAAATAAATGTAAAATGTGAAAAAATGATGAAAAATATAATAAATTGCAGTCATTTAAAAAATTGAAAAAAAATATATATATATATATAATATAAGTTTATATATAAACTATATTTATATTATAAACTATATAATTATTATAAGCTATATATAAATTATGTTTATGTGAACTATATATATAAACTATGTATATAATCTATATATGTATAAACTATAAAAAGTATATAGTTTATAAAATATTATTTATATTAATATAGTATATATATATATGTATGTATATAAACTATATATGTATAAATTATTTAAAATATATAGTTTATATATTATAATTTATATTAATATAGTATATATATGTATGTATAACTAATACAAGTAATATATAGAATATATATATATATATATATATATATATATATATATATATATATATATATATATATATTAAAGAAATACTATGCATAAACTATATAAAGTAATAAATTATATAGTTTATAAAAACCCTAAACCCTAAACCCTAAAACATAAACCTTAAATCTTAAACTTTATAAACTATATATGTATAGACACATTTGATAATTCATATATAGTTTATATAAACAATAGTTTATATAAATTATATATGTAACATTAACCTATAGTCTATAAATAATAGTTAATATATGTAATTTATAGTATATGTATATATGTAAACTATATATGTAACTTAAAGTACAAGTATGTATAAACCATGTACAGTATATATATAAACCATATAAAGTAAATTACTTATATAGTTTATAGAAACAATATGCATAAACTACATAAATTAATAAATTATATAGTTTATAAAAACTCTAAACCTTAAACCCTAAACCTTAAACCCTAAAATGTAATCACTAAACCCTAAACAATATATATAAACAATAGTTAATATATGCAATGTAACCTATAGTATATGTATACATGTAAACTATAGTCTATATATGTAACTTATAGTACATGTATCATGTATGTATAAACTATGTATAGTATATACTTTATAACCTATAATTTATATTAATATAGTATATAGTTTATAAACTATATTATATTAATATTAATTATATTAACTATAGTTTATAAACTATACTATATAATTTATAACATATAGTTTATATTAATATTAATGTTATATACTATATTTTATATTAATATTAATTATAAATTATAAACTATATTATATTAATATTAATATTAATTATAATATATAATTATTGTAATATTAATTATAAATAGTTAATTAATAAAATTATAAAGGGATGAAATTGAAATAATTTAAAATATAATGATTAAATTGAATCATTAATCTTGGACTAAATTGAATAAAATCAAAAATAGGGGACATCGCTACAATGCCAAAAGAAATTAAAAACACGCGGATCTAAAATACCCGACCCGAATGGATCGCTATATAAGGTCAGAATTTTGGTTTTTTTCCTCATTTTCAACTTCCTATTCAATTCTCTCATTTTGCTCTCTCTCTCTAGCTCTCTGTTTCTCTCAAATTCTCTACCATCTCTCTAGAAGTTCATCTGTGTTCTTCATTTTTCTTTGAAAAACCTTGTTTTGATCTTCAAAATCACCAAATCTAAAAAAAATTATGTTTTTTGGATCAAACACTCGAAATTTCATCCTTGTTCATCCGAAAACCCTCATTTGATCTTCATAAACACCAAAACCCATACGTTTTCTTGTTTTTTTCGATCAAAGACCCAAATTTTCTCCCTTGTTCATACGTTTTTATCCCAGTTCATATTTGTTCTTCACAAAAACCATCCGTTGATCTTCACAAACACCAAAACACATACCACTGAATGTTTTTTTAGATCAAACCTCTCGTTGATCCTTCCAAACACCTAAACCCTTAGATCATTTTATTTTCTTCGATCAAACCCAAACATGTCCATCTTCTGTCACCTAAACCCTAAACCAAAACCTGAACCCAAACCCAAACCCAAACCCAAACCTAAACCTAAACCCTAACCTAAACTTGAACCCTAATTAAACCCAAACCCAGACCCAACCCGAACCCAAACTCGAATTTGAACCTGAATCCAAAACCTGAACCTGAACCATAACCCGAACCCAAATCCAAACCTAAACCCAAAACCCTAACTCAAATTCTAACCTAAACCTAAAAAACCCTAACCGAGCATCTTCACTTGTTGTCTCTGTTGATATTCGATTCCCTTTTTTTTCAAGGGTTTCATGGACAGCTTTTCTTACAAGTTGAATGGTCCAGGTATGTTATTGTTTAGTATTGTACTATTTTTTTATTTTAATATTGTTTATTAATATATTATTAATTTCTTTTGTAGGAGAAAACCCAACAAATCAGAATGAAAGGCATTATAAAATAGGTAAATAAACAGTTTAATTTGTAGCTACTGTTGATTTGTTTCTACTGTTGATTTGTTTGTGTTGTTGGTTGTTCATTTAGATTGCTTTTATAAGGTTGTTAGCTGCCTTTATTTACAATTTAAATAAACTGTTTAATTTGTAACTACTGTTGATTTGTTTGTGTTGTTGGTTGTTCATTCAGATTGCTTTTATAAGGTTGTTAGATGCCTTTATTTACACTTTAAATAAACTGTTTAATTTTTAGCTACTGTTGGTTGTTCATTCAAATTACTTTTATAAGGTTGGTTGCTAACCCTAATTTTTTTTGCAAGGGGATATAAATGATGTACTGTCTGAAGCAGTTGATTTAAATAAATCCTCTAAGAGAAAGTCCACAGGTTCATTTGAATTTGGGAGAAGAACCTCTGTTGTTTGGGACCATTACACATTCACCAAAGCTGATGATGGTTCTTTTTATGCCGAGTGTAAGTATTGCAAATTGAAAAGGTATAAAGTTGATTCTTATATTGCTACATCTAACCCTAAAAGGCATACTAAGAAATACCAAGCATATAAGGATTTTCTTGCTGAAAATCCAGATAGTGTAGCTTCTTTTGATCAAAACAAATACTGTGAATTGTTTGCTGATGCTATTCTGTGTCATGGTTATGCATATAGTATAATTGAGCATGACAAACTTAGGGTTTTACATCAATACCTTAATTCTTATGTTAAGGATATATCTAGGTATACTGTTACTAAGTATTGTATGTTGGAGCATGAAAAGCATAAAAAATTACTGCTTGATTCAATGCATTTTGTCTCAAGTCGTGTTTGTTTTACATGTGATGCTTGGTCTGCCTGCACTTCACATTCTTATTTTGCCCTTATTGCTCATTATGTTGATAATAACTGGAAACTTCAGTCTAAAATATTTAATTTGCGTCGTTTTCCTCCTCCTCATGATGCTGAGTCTATCTTTAAGTTTGTGAAAAAGATGATATGTGAATGGGGTCTTGAAAAAAAAGCATTTACTATTACACTTGATAATACTTCTGCAAATGATAGAATGGTTAAGAGACTGAAAGATTATTTGAATGTCATTTCTTCTCTTCCCTGCAATGGTAAGTACTTTTATATAGGGTGTGTTGCCCATATTTTGAACTTGATAGTTCAAAAAGGTTTAAAGGTGATTTATTCTTCTGTTAATAAATTACGTCATATTGTTAAGTTTATTGATTCTTCTGGCTCTCGACTTTGTGTCTTTGAATTAGCTGTTAAATACTGTGATTCTTCTTTCTCTGGTAAGTTAATATTGGATGTTCCTACTCGTTGGAATTCGACTTACTTGATGATTCATAGGGCACTTGAGGCTAGATTAGGGATTAACTTGTTTCTTAATAGGGAAAATGAGTTGGATATCATTACTGATTATGAATGGGAAACAATTCAAACAATCTGTGATTTTCTTGAGCCTTTTTATGAAATTACTACGTTGTTCTCTGGTTCTAAGTATCCCACTTCTAACTTGTATGTGGTTAACGTTGTTGCAATTGAGAAATTGTTGTGTGATGCTCATAATGATCATTGTGAAGGTATTTCTGCAATGGTAAAACCCATGCTTGAACTTTATGAGAAATATTGGTCTGATCACTCTATGATTCTGCCTTTTGCTGTTTTACTTGATCCTCGATATAAATAACAACTGCTTAAGGAGTTGTACAATGTTCTTTATGTTGAGGATGATGTTCAACGAAGAGTACGTCTCATTTATGATGAATTTCTTGAGTTATATGTATTTTATTCAAAAAATGAACCCTGTGTTTCTTCTTCTTCTTCTTCTGTCCAAAGTAACACATCCTTGGACAGAAGTGGCTAAAGTTCCAATCGGCCTCGAACATTTAGAAAATTAAATTTATTTCAAGTTAGTTAATATAATTTCTAGTTGAATTTTAACTTATTTATTTCCTGTTTTTATTTACTAATTTCTTGTGTTTTGTTTTTCAGAATTTTGATGCCAATTTAGCTGCTTCAAGGAGTGGACGATCTAATGTTGACTCGTACATCTGTTTTCCCCTTGTCCCTCGTATTGGAGAATCGGAGTTTGATATTTTGGAGTATTGAAAAAATCAGCGTGTTTCATATCCTGTACTATCTCGCATGGCGAGTGATATATTGGTTATTCCAATTACTTCCGTTGCATCTGAATTGTCCTTTAGTATGGGGGTAGAATTTTGACCAAATTAAGAGCTTCACTCTTACAAAAAAAAATGTTGAGATTTTTGTTACAACCCGTAATTGGTTGCACGGTTTTGAGCCGGAGGATAAAGATGAAGACTACCTTACTATGATTAATGAGTCTACTATGTAAAGGTATTATATAATTGCTTTCTATTTTATTTTAATCTCAATATTTCAAACTGTTTATTAATTATTTTAATTTTAATTTTAATTTTAATTTTTAGGGTGCTAACGTTAAGTGAAACCATTGGAATTTACGATTCAGTCTTGTTTCTTCCATTTACATGTAACTTTTACTTATTAATTACTTATTGTATTTATTATGTTTAACAATATCTGAAACAAATTTTAATTGATGGTTTTGTTTTTTATAAGATGCTTCTGTCCAAAGTAACACATTCTGGTTTTGCTTGATATTAATTTTATTTTCATAAACAATGTTGAATGTTTGATTATGTAAGGGTTTGGTAAAGTTGGAAATGTTTGGCACTGTTGGCTATTGTATTCCCTTTGGCTTTACCACGATTAAATGTTTGTTTAATGCAGAAAATTTGTCTGCTATTGCTGTTGCTGCTTCCTGCTGCCTGTTGATGCTTCCTACTGCCTGCTGCTGCTTCTTGCCTATTGTTTCCTTGTATTTTATTTTGTTGGTCTGATTTAAATAGATTGTTGAAACTGTCATTTTTTCGAAATAGCTACTCATGTTAAATTATGTTGGTAGCTTTAAAAGTTGCATGTATTTTAACAATGTTGGCAGCTATTTCGATATAAAAGCTCGATAAAGAAATTTCTGGTAGCAAAGTTAGGCTTTTAGACTTATAATATTTTTTTATAAGATCTGAGAGCTTAAAGTTTTTTTTTTAAAAATTTTTCTTCATTTTTTTGTATTCAAGTTGAATTGACTCAAATATTATTCAAATGTTATATTAAATGTTATTTAAATTATCATTATCAATTAATTTTATATTTTATACTATTTTTCATTTATGTTATAATTGTTAAATAATTTTTTGTACCAAAATTAAACGGTATAGTTTATATCTATATTTTAGAGAATTAATCACGTTCAATACTAATGTTCATTTATTATCAAATTAATTATCATTTTATTATCAAAATTATTTATATTAATAATGTAAACCATTAATATATATTACATAATAAATACTTTCATTATTAATATTATTTTTTCTTTATATAAATTAAACTATATAATTTATATAAATTAATGTATATTATTTTTCCTTTGTATTATTAATAATGTTTTATCTAATTTATATTTAAGAAATTTTATTAATAATTTTATTTAATAGGTCTATTTATTAATTTAATTATCATAATAAATATTTTATTATAACATTTAAAAAGTAATCATATTAATTTTTTAATTACATCATAAGTGAAAAAACTCATAATTTTATTAAAATCTTATAATTTTGTCTATTGTAGTATATAAGTCAAGTAAATATCAAATCATGTAATTAACAAGTCAGATTATTTACAGGTCATGTTAAAAACATGTTAGGTTGAAAACAGTTCGGGTAATATCAGTTATTTACCATGTCAATCTCGGGTTTGGGTTCATATCAGTCGGATGCAGTTCGGGTTCGGATATCATATTTTTGGTTCAATTCAGGTTCAGGTCGTTCTCAGGTCGGATGCTGGTCGTGTTCAAATCTACAATTTTCATGTCCAAATCGGGTTCAGGTCAACATCAGTTCCGACTCGAGTCGGTTTCGGATCACCACTGTGTAGGTCAAAATCAGTTTTGACTCGAGTCGATTTTAGTCAGTTTTGCAGGTCGAGTCAGTTTTTTACATTCCTACCCAGGACATTCACGTGGATTTAAATTGAAGAAAATAGTATAAATAATATAACAATCACCCAAAAAATTTATTGTCCCAATAACCTCACTTTTAGTGTAGGAGGCAAGTAAACTCATTATCTCATTCACAAAAGATGTTACAGATGTCTTATTGTTTTGTAAATTCAACCTCAATAGGATGTGACACCTCTTACTTGGTATTTTGATTTGTCTTTAAAAGAAACAAACAATTTGCATCATTTCTTTATCCTTTTCTCATATTTATTTTATGTTTACTATTTTGATCACATTTCTTGGCATACCTGGTTCGCGTTCACTTTACAGAATGTAAGCTACTGGGACTTGGCAATAAATTCATAGGATTTAGCTTGAATATAGCATAGATATTTTAATACCGGCTGAGGATATCATTTCTTCTTGTTATATCTGATTGCAGTGTCAGGTTTTAGAGAAGATTGATGGAATGTCATCTGAGACTATGTCATTGTTATGGAGTATGAAGGAGGCAGTGGGTCCAGCAGTTAATGCGGCAGGAGAGAGAAGATGAACAAATCAGAATATGAGTATTAAATTCTTTTGACTTTGGGAGAAAAATACAGGGGGGATTTTCAGGGTTTAGGTTTAAGGAAATTGGTCAATTTGGAGGGAAGCAATCAAGCCCACTCAGAAAATAATAGTGAGCTCATTTCCTCAGATTGTAGAATAGTCCCGTCTGGGCCTGTGGTGAACATAACAATGTTGGGCGTTAGAGGCTCCAAGGAGATTCGGGTGGAGCCTCCAAGAGAATTAAAGCAGATTGTTTTAATGGGAATGGATAGTGGGAATGTCATAGCTGATGTGGGTGTAGTGGTGTAGCGTCACAAAGAATGGTAACTAGAAGAGTTTCGTCGTCCTCACCTTTAAATCGGAGAAGATCCATAAGTGTTGCTACTATTTTTTGTGACAGTATACAACCGACAAAATAGGAAAAAATCTACAGAAGAATCAGAGATGGGATTTTCTATTTTGGATGCTTCGACAGATAAGAATGAATTAATCTCTACTTGGTAGGTGAGGAGAATGTTGAGTGTATCATTTAGGGGGGAATAGGTGTTTGATCAGAAGTTTTTGGAATTAAGCCAGGGATTGGAGGATGAGAACTAATCTCATTCCTTTTTTTTAGGTGTACAAGTTACTGAAAGTATGATGAAGTTCTCTTGTGTTACATGGACTATTAGGGGTCTACAGAGGAAAGAAAAGGTTAGGGCAGTAAGGAAGTTGGTTGCTAAGAGAAAGCTAATGGTCTTATTCCCGCATGAGACAAAAGTTGAAGTGGTGAGACCAGCTTTGGTTAGACGTTTAGGGGGAAAGATGCTTCGAGGGATTGCGGTTTCTCTTGCAGAATGATCTTCAGGAGGATTAATGAGCCTTTGGGATGAAAATTGTTTTGAGTCTCGGGTTATAGAAGTTTCGAAACGTTTTAGGAAGATAATGTGAATATATGCTTAGTAAACATATACAGACCTATTTTAGGATCAGAGAAGGAGGTATTTTTTAGGAGTTGCTCAGTTACTTATGCCATGTGGAATGTGCATTATGTGTGGGTGGTGATTTTAATTCGTATTTATCTCAAGAGGAGAAGAGAGGTAAATAACATAATTTGCATTCGATGAGAATTTTTGGGTTTTTGTATTTCAGGCGAAATTGGTGGATTTACCGATGATGGGTGGTAATTTCACGTGGAGCAACAATATGGATGATCCATTATTTGTTAGATTGGATAGATTTCTAGTGAATGCATATTTTTTGTCGATGATTACAGATATTGATCAACTTCTACTTTCGAAGTCATTATCGGACCACAATGCAGTGGTACTAGAGAAAAGAGAGGTCAATTAGGGTCTAAAGCCTTTCAAATTATTCAATTACATTATGGAAGATGAGGGTTTTCAATAGATGATGGAGTTGAAGATTAAGGAGGTGAAGAAGGTTAATTGTAGAGGAATTGAATTTATGCTAAAAGAATTAAAGAAATCAATTAAATGTTGGTCCTCTAATAATCATATGAAGCTGCCGGATTTGATTATGAGGTTGGAAAATTCAATTTATGAAATGGAGAAAATAGTTCAACAGGGGTCTGCTCATGTGTCGATGGAATCAATTGCGAAAGCCAAGAAGGAATTGTGGTCAATGTACAAAAAAGAGGAACATATTTGGTTTCAAAAATCTCGAGCGAAATGGATTCAAGATGGAGATCTGAATTCTCGGTATTTCCATCAATGCGCATCAAATAGGGGCAGAATAAATAGGCTGAAGATATTGGAAGTGAATGGCAAGGTTATTTCGAACCCGTATGAGATAAAAACTAATGTTAGTGGGTTTTTCAAGAAAAACTATAATTTGAAGCCTACGTTGGATGTATTGAATTTTGATTTGCCTTTCAAGTACTTATCAGAGAATCAATTCTCACTGTTGGAAATGAAGCTTTTAGAGTAAGAAGTTTGGGAGGCTATAATTCGTCAGACATCTACAAGGTACCGAGTTAGGGTGGATTGAACATGGGGTTTTTCAAAAAAAAATTGGACTTCACTTAAGGAAGATATCTTGAAGTTCTTTGAGGATTTTTACTCGGGTAAGAAACTGTAAAAAAGTGTGAATCATACGTTTATTACTTTGATCCCGAAGAAGTCAAATCCGATTGGAATAGAAGATTATAAGCCTATTAGCTTGGTGGGGGATTTTATAAGATTTTTTCGAAAGTGCTTTCATTGGGGCTAAGGTTGTGCTTAGATTCGCTGATTGGTCATTCACAGTTCGCATTTATCCCGGGGAGATAGATATGCGATTGCTCTTTATCGCAAATGAAGCCATCGACTATTGGAGGAGGAAAGGTAGGAGATGTATCACTTTCAACCTGGATTTTAAGAAAGCTTATGGTTCAGTTGATTGGAATGTCTTAATGAAGATTATAGAGCACATGGGTTTCAGAGAGAAATGGCTTTCTTGGATCTTCGAGTGTATTTCCTCTTTTACTATTTTTGTCCTGGTCAATGGCTCTCCGACATAAAGTTTTAACGTGTTGAGGGGTTTACGTCAGGGTTGCAGTCTATCGCCTATGTTATTTAACTTAGTCGGAGAGATGCTGAATCTAATGCTATCTAAGGCGGTGGAGTTGCGTTTGTTTAATGGCTTTCAGATTGGTTGTGACAGTAATTCGTTTTTGTAATCTCATCTGTAATTTACTGATGATTTAATTATTTTTTATAGAGCGAATGAAGGTCAATTGAATAATGTTAAGAGGATTTTAGTTGTTTTTGAGATGTGCACGGGTTTGAAGTTAAATTTTTCGAAAAGGAAAATTTTTGGGGTCAATTTGGAGACATCGATTGTTAATGACTGGGCAATGTCTATTGGGTGTAAAGCATATGTTTTTCAGACGGAGTATCTCGGGCTCCCTCTTGAATTCAAGATGCATTCGACAGTTTTATGGGAGCCGATTATTAACAGCTTTTATCATAAATTAGCTGGTTGGAAAGCTTCAACACTTTTACTTGCTGGAAGGGTTGTGCTTGTCAAATCTGTCCTCTCGGTGCTTCGAATATACTATATGTTTTTGTTTAAAATGCCTTCTAAAGTTGTTAGATGTTTGAATTCTGTTATGGTAAATTTTTTATGGGGTAGTACTTCACAGAAAAATAGAGTTCATTAGGTTAATTGGTCGCAAGTTTGCAAACAAAAGGAGTTTGGAGAGTTGTGGATCAATGACATAAAGCTTATGAATAAAACTCTTTTAGGTAAGTGGGTTTGGAAATTTTGGAGCTATAAAGATACCTGTGGAAAAAGATGGTCTTCTCCAAGTATAAATTCGATAGAAGGGAGATATGGGTGAGAAGTAGTTTGTCCACCCAATCTTCTTGGCTTTGGAAGGTTGTTTTTAATAATTTCTTGTCAAATGATAGTTTTAGCAATGGGTTCTTCAGCCTTTTGGTGCTGTAAGTAGGGAAAGGAAATTCAATTCGTTTTTAGCAAGATGTATGGATCGAAAACCTTCCTCTGAGGTTGAGATTTCCTAGGCTTTTTGTTTTATCGATTAACAAAGATGGGGTTATAGTAGAATTTGGGTCGCTTAGTTATGGAAGATGGGTGTGGGATATTTAGATAAAAAGGAATTTGTTGGACTGGGAGTTGGATATATCGGTTGAATTGCTTTTGATATTGGACAAAGTGAGTGTGGGAGTAGGTGATGATGACTGCTATGTGTGGAAAGGGAATCATGAAGGATTCTACTCGGTAAAATCAGCCATTAAAGCAGAGTCAAGCTCATATGTTGCGAATTTACTTTGGTCGGAGTTTTTTTGGGCTGGTTTGTCACCTCCTAATGTATGGCATGTTTTTTACCAGAAGATGACAGTTAAGTCAACCTTGATTAGGAGGGGTGTTAGCGGAATCGATGATCCCCTTTGTCTATTTTGTGGTTTAGATGTTGAATTAGTTAGTCATCTGTTCTTTTCTTGAAAAATTGTTTGGGGAGTGTAGATGAGATTCCTGAGGATGTGGAGTGTTTTTTCAGCTTTGCTAATTTGTCCTAATGAGTTCATTTTCGTGTGGGCTGATTTAGTTCCAAATTTTGAGATTTGGAAATTTATTCAAGGAATAATTATGTGGTCTGTTTGGTTATGTAGGAATAACTCAGTTTTTTAAAATGAAAGGTTGGATCTAACCTATCTGTGTTTTTTGGTTAGATATAGGGTGGCTACTTAGTTTTTGGTGAAGAAGTCCAGTTTTTCAGTTTCTCTTGATCTTCTGCTAGGGGGTCTCACACTAGCAGATGTGCACAAGGGCAAGTTGAAGAATGTTTTAGCATTCACAGGTTGGTGTCATCCCCCTTTAGGTTGGTTTAAAGCTAATGTGGATAGAGTAGTGGGATGTGATTAGAGGTGCAGTGGAATTGGGGGATTGCTGAGGGATTCAAAAGGCAAGAAGCTGGAGTTTTTATCGGTTGTATCAAGACCTGGTCCACCGGTTCTGGCAGAACTAAAAGCTATTCAAGAAGGGTTACAATTGTTTTTAGCCTCGAAGTGGAAAGTTAAAGGGCATCTTATTTTGGAGTTTGATTCTATGGTTGCTGTGAATTGAATTAAATTCCCAGAGTTATGCCCGACTGTGTTTAGCAATCTGGTTAAAAAATTAGCAAAGTGTATGTTGGATTCAAATGTGTTGTTAAGGTTTGTGAAGCGAAGCAGTAATTGGGAAGCTGATGCTTTAGCTAAGAAGGGAATTGGTTGAAGGCTGTTGTGGGTGTATTCTATTTGTAGAAGTTTGATTAGAGTATTTGTTTTCTTTCCTACTTTAGGTGTAGGTTTCTATGAAAGGTTGTAATATAGGGGGATGTTCTTAGGTTGCACTCTATGTTTATATTAATAAAATTTTGGGCACTCTTTTCCTCCTTTCTATGCCTATTAAGATACCTTGTAGCTTAACGGTTATGAAGGGGTTTTTTAAAGAGGCTTCTTGTTATAAAAAAAAGGAGAGTCACAATTGTCGTTCGCAATTCAAGATTTACTTTGATACACTAACAGAAAATTAACACAGGTTTGGCCTTTAGCTATAATGCACATTGTTGATGATACCTAGATTGTAGCAAATTCAAATCTAAAGACAAAAACATTTTTAATAGACCCTGAATAAAAGAGCATCCTCTTTTAGGGTTTCATAAAGAGTGGTAATTTTTTAGGTCTCGCCCACCCATTCTAGTCCAGTATAGCCATTCTGAGTAAGGACATAAATGATTCAATACAAGCTGGCAGTTATTGATGGAAGTAAGTTGCATAAGTTTCCTTTCCCTTGAGGATAGGAGATTGATACTGCATTTGTATATGCAGACTTACGATTTCTTTTGTTAATATGAATCAACCATTCGCTTTTCAGGTTCCCCCACCCAGGTGGGTAATAACCGAGACTATAGCAACCCTTAGAAAGAATAATATCCAGTTCCCTTCAAAAGGAGAACACAAACACTGACGAATTTTTAAGTCCCTTACAAGTTCAACAATACGCTTGAAAACCTGGTTAAAGATGAATTTGGCCAAAGTCCAAACAAGATTTTTGTGCCTTAACTGGACCACTCAAACATGTTGGTCGATCACTTGTGGAGTATGACTAGATTTTCAAAGTTCACTGCACTAAGTAGACTGTTGTAATGCAAAAAATGGATTAGGGAGAGAGGAATTATTCACTCATGTATTAACTTTAAGAGAAATTAAGTAAAACCTATTTAAGGAAATCAAAACTATACAATAAATAGTATATAGGTAAAACACCTAAATATCAACTTATTAGGTGTCAATAGTCAACACTCCCCTTCAAGTTCGTGCTTAGACGTCGCACACACCCAACTTGCAAACCAAATTATGATAAGGTATGTTGTCCCTTAGTGAAGACAACAGGTAACTGTCTGCCAGATGCCACGTGGACCAACTTCAAAACACTGGTAGTCAACTTCTCTTTAATAAAGTTCATATCATTCTCCATGTGTTTTGTTCAATCATGTTGAGCTATATTCTGAGCATACTGATGTCACATTAAAAGGATAGTCTGTTTTTTTGGAAGTTTTAATTCATCCGGTAATTTCTGTAGCCACAAAAGTTCACGAACACCATGAACCATGGTTGTAATGCCCTAAATACTGATTTAGGGACTATACTGAAATGATTCAAAAATATGAGGGTTTATTTTATTAAATAATGAAAGATTAGAAGGATTAGGATAAATGGTTTAGACTAAATTCTGACAATGGATTACTAATAGGGCATTTTGGTCCTTTAAATGAAAAAGAATTTAAAATGTCTCCTAAATTGGTATTAAAGAAAAAAGGGAAAAGGGAGTTAGAGGATACAAAATGTCTTCTTTCTCTTCTTCCTCTTTCCCCCGTAACAAAGTCCCTCCATAGCTCAAAGGTAAGTTTTTAATTTACTAAGTTATTCCTTCATTTTTGGTTGGTTATTGAAGCTTTGTAGATTACGAATGCTCAAGGAAGGTTTAGATGATATTAAAGCAATGAGATAAGGGAAATAAAGGATATTTTAGAAAATGGGTTTTATAATGATATGTGAGTATATTGGTATTTATGGATGATTATTAGTAGTTTTGACTTATCAAAAAAGTAAATGAAAGATTAGAAGCATTGGATGAGTGTGAAAACAAGTTTGAAATTTTGGTGTGATTCTTAGAATCAAATGCTATTGATGAATACTAGATGTTTTAATTATCTAAATGAAGGAAAGTTAGTATGGTTAATTAGAGAAGAGTTACATAGTATTGTTAGGGGTAAATGAGAGGAAAATTGGCCAAATCTGGGTATGTCTCAGGTTGAAAACTGGAAAATCTGGGCATGGAAATTGGTACTGATAGAACAGTATCGATACTATAGGCTAAAATTGGGCTGATTTAGATGAGAAGTATCTATACTGATTCAATCAGTATCAGTACCGACGAGCTAGTATCAATACCATGGTAAGGGTATCGATACCAGGTAACATCGAATCTAATTTTGGTATCGATACCATAAAGGGGTATCGGTACCATAATATAGTAGTATCGATACCATGGTAAGGGTATTGATACTGGGCCACATCGAATCTAATTTTGGTATCGATACCAGAAGGGGGTATCAATACCATAGTAGGGTAGTATCGATACCATGGTGGGAGTATCGATACGGAGGAACCATAAATTTTAAGTTATGCTTATATTGTTGTAGAAAGATTAATAATAAGTACTTTTGATTAATGTTTAAGTTATAATTGTTAGGAAATACACTAACAATTGATATTATACATGTATTTAATAAATTTGGGATAGAACGAAATCAAGCTCTCGAGTCGAGTAAGGCTAAAGGCAAGGGCAAAGTTTCGGAGTAATCATCTTCCTATTTTGGATATCTAAGCAAGGCGAGCTAGGTGAGTGCATTTAATTATGTATGTATATGCTATAATAGCCATACAACAACAACAACAACAACAACAACAACAAAACCCTAGTCTCATATACAATGGGGTAAGGGGGAGGTAGGGTAGTAGGCTGCCCCCAATGCCAGGTTGAGAGCAACTTCCATGGAAGACCTCCGGCAGTCAGAAAATTACAAATAAAGATAAAATACAATGCATGTATAAATAAATAAATACATAGTTGAAACAGTCTTCAGATGCAGTGTACATATGTACGTCTGTAATGGGAAAAAATCCCTGCAAATAAATCCCTGCGTAAAAAGATCTGCATATTGACAGAAACGTAAGATCCGACTAAAATTAAAAAGAGGAAACAAGAAGAGAAAGATACACAGAAGTCAATGATAGCAAGCAACGAGAAGGAAATAAGGGCAAATGGGTTAAAACCTAAACTATGGCAACACTTCTCCGCTACCCTAGTTCTAAGCCTTCATAAATTCCAATGAAAGAAACGTATAAAAAGTAGAAGTCATGGGAATTTTTACAAAGGCATTAAAAGAAGACAGATATGATACACCCTCTAGATGTGACCCGTACTACTCGGCTACCCTGGTCTTAAGTCTCCATACTTTCCTATATGAGGTCAAGTCTTCGATAAGGGCTAAATCCTTCAAATCAGATCTCAAGAAGTCTTCCCACTTCCGCCTTGGTTATCTTCTCCTTCTGGTACCGTCGACTGAAATCTACTCTACCCTCTTGACCGCATCCGACGGTTGTCGCCTAAGGACATGCCCAAACCACCGTAGTCTTCCCTCCCTCAATTTTTCGGCTACAGGCAAAACCCCAAGGACATCCTAATAGCAGAGTTTGGTGTCATGTCCTATAGAGTCCTACCATATGCCCATCATTATGATCCATACATCAGCGCTGGTCTTATTGCCATTATATAAAAATTTCCCTTAAGTTTTAGAGGCACCTTCTTGTCATACAAAACTCTGGTAGCAGCCCTCCACTTTAGCCATCCCGCCTTTATACGATGTGTAACGTCATCATCCACTTTAGCCATAGTGTTATGAAATATTGATGTATGTATGGTGATTACCAAATGGCACTACGTGTGCTAAAATGTTAAGAAATTCATACTAAGTGTATGAATTTCAGTATAGGGTATATGGCACTTGGTGTGCTAAAATGATAAAAAATTCATACAAAGTGTATTAATTTCCGTATAGGGCACTTGGTGTGCTAAAATGATAAGGAATCATACTAAGTGTATGAATTTTCATATAGGAAACTTGGTGTGCTACAATGATAAGAAATTCATATTAAGTGTATTAATTTTTGTATAGGGCACTTGGTGTGCTAAAATGATAAGAAATTCTTAAGTGTATGAATTTCAGTATAAGGCACTTGGTGTGCTAAAATGATAAGAAATTCATACTAATTGTAAGAATTTTCGTATAGGGCACTTGGTGTGCTAAAATGATAAGAAATTCATACTAAGTGTATGAATTTCCGTATAGGGCACTTGGTGTGATAAAATGATAAGAAATTCATACTAAGTGTATGAATTTCTGTATAGGGCAGTTGGTGTGCTAAAATGATAAGAAAATCATACTAAGTGTATGAATTTCAGTATAGGGCACTTGGTGTGCTAAAATGATAAGAAATTCATACTAAGTGTATGAATTTCAGTATAGGTCACTTCGTGTGCTAAAATGATAAGAAAATCATACTAAGTGTATGAATTTCTATATAGGGTAATTGGTGTGCTAAAATGATAAGAAATTCATACTAAGTGTATGAATTTCCATATAGGGCACTTCGTGCGCTAAAATGTTAAGAAATTCATACTAAGTGTATGAATTTCAGTATGGGAAATATATGTGTATAAACCTAAGAAATTCTTAATAAAGAAGTGGATTTTATATTGCCAATGGGTATGCAAATTACACAAATTTTAGTGATGGTTGATAAATGATGATATTAGCACTAGCGATGCAAATTATAAAATAACTTGTGTTTAGAACTTTACTTGTGATTAATTATGCCTCACTAAGTAATACTAACATGTGTTTATTTCACGCGTAGGTGGAATACCAGCTGATTAAGGAGATAATCAGACATCGAGTACTAACATGTGTTTATTTCACGCGTAGATGGAATACCAGCTGAGTAAGGAGATAATCAGACATCGAGTCAGAGTCGCCTCATCAGTAATTGTATGACATACTTGTCTGCTTTTGATATATTTTAGTTGGCATGTAATAGGTTTAGTAAAAACATTTTGAAAAGCTTTTGAATTAAACTAATGTATAACGGGGAAATGTGAAACATCTGTTTTGATTGTACATGTAAGTATAATGCATGATTTCTTTATAAGTATTTTATAATGATTTATAAAATGAAACAAAATTGTACGAATTTTCAAATGGGAAAATGGTTTACAAGTGATGTGACATTTATATTTCGTATACATAACGATATACGGGAGATGGTTGTTACATTTATTGGTATCAGAGCTATAGGTTTAACCGATTCTCGATAGAAAACGAGTGTAGTTTGATATAAAAAATAATTTACATGCCACTAAGATGTCAAGGTTACTGATAGGGTATAGAATGAATATGAAAGATGTCT